CTGGTTTGCTACAGTTTCTTGTTTCTCCGCTTTAAGTTTGGAAGATCTATATTCAAATACATTCACTTTATTTTTGTATAGCCTTAAAGTATCAATATGTAAGATTTTCATGTCAAGTCATCATTAAATTAGCCTCGTCACCAAAGTACAAAATACATTTCGTACTAAGGTCTGGAGGTGCTGCATTGACTCCGTTAACAGGTGGGAGTGGTTAACTCCTTTTGCAGATTGAAACGATTGGATCTGAGTAATGCGCCCGAGTGAGTCGTTAGCATTTAGCATTTAGCCTAGCCTTCTCCTTTGCCGCTAACGGAGCCCGTGGGGAGTAGCGCCACAATTTTCTTGTGATTACATTTGCTAAACATTCCTCTTGCTCCGGCTTCAATTTCTTGATAGAACCAGACCGGAATACTTTAGTATCGCATTATTCACCATTGCCAAACTACAACCTGCCCGTTCGATCCAAACTCTTGACGTCACCCACATCTAACTACGGACCAGACCCAGACGTTACATGCAGTGATGGATAAGGCCAGGCTATCCTGAAATGGCCCTAATCTGTCAAAAGGCATTAATAAAACATGCTATTTTCAAATACTTCTTTAAGATAATGACAACAGTAGTTCAGAAATATTAGGATTTCAAAATTAATTTTACAGCCCCTAAATCTTGTTATTGTTTTTATTTCAATGTCCCGCCCTCCACTGTTTTACCAATCGTGATCCGGGTTGCCAGAACTCACTGGTAAAGTACCATGTGGCCTCAGAACAAAAACAAAAGGTCTCGCTATGATTCTCAGATCAATAATGACCAAACAAGGAATAAAACCAGGATTTCTATCTTTGTGAATAAGGGGTTTGTTATAGATCTGCATATCTGGCAACCTGAGACAGGGGGAGTGCAGTACCAATTTTGGCAATTTTTTAGAACACATTTTTATACAAAACCGTGGAATTTGCCAACATAATCAGAGACAATCAAACAGTTCAAACACAAGAAATGCACTGATAACAAACACATAGAGCCATTGGTCCATAGGGGGCAGATGACCAATGTCCATTAACGTCCATTAATGCTGTTGAATCTCGAGTGGATCATAATCACTGTCCTTGGACCCTCCCGCATAAACATACACATCAGATATATACGGCTTCTGAGACCTAGATTGGCAAACAACTGAAATAATGGAACAACAAAGAGGGTTGGTCGGATAATTCTTGTTGACATAAATGTGCCTGAATCCATAAGTTCTCCCGGAGCTTGCCAGAGCCTCTCATCATCGTGAGTGCTTCCAAAGGAGTGTGCAGACAGCCTCATCAACACAGCCATCAGTATTCACCCGATCGCAGACGACTCACTGACTCCATCTGTCTCCCCCTCTCCATCAAGACTTTAAATCCTCTCCCTCCATCCACAACAAGTAGAAAAACCACTCCACCTTCTCCACGCAACGCTCCCCCAGGCATCACACGGCTGATTTCCAATTGACTTCCATATGACACTGTGCGGAATGATGTAACACGGACCACTTCAGACCTATAGCAGAGGAATTAGATTAGATGAATGAATGAGAGACAGGGTATTAAAAATTGCCAGGAGGTGTGGGTGGGTCCAGGGAAGTGGCCGAGCGTTAAATTTGTCATTTCGATGCAGTAGATTGATTTGGGTCAAGGACGGCCACGGTGCTCGGCTGTAGTGTGTCCAGCCTAAATTCAAAATGGTTTCCTTTCTGAGTTTACCCCAAGGATTTGAGAAACTCCTGTGGTTGTTGTGGCTTTTGCCCTAGTTTGAAATTAGCGAATTAGTAGCACAAACCCCACCCCAAGAATTCAGACACATTTAATTAAAGAGCATTTTGTTGTCGTACTCAAAACCAATAGACGTAAATCTTTCATCCATCCATCCATTTTCTTCCGCTTCATCCGTTGCCGGGTCGTGGGGGCAGCAGTCTAAGCAGATATGCCCAGACTTCCCTATCCACACACACCCAACACAAATACGCTATATAAATTACTTGCTTACTTACTTACTAATTACCTCAAGGGTGTTCAAACATTATAGTAATAGGGCCACCTTAGTTAACCAGACTTGTCCAGGGGCCAACATCACAGACTGAAAAACTGTCTTGACTGGCGTTGGACTGTTCTGAGCTTTAAAATGATCTATAACAAAGCTGAAGTTGGCTGAATGACACATGTTTACTGTCTCACCTGCTACAGAAACACCATTTATGGACGTTTGTGACACAATCAAAACCCACGACTAGACTCCGGACGTACTGGGCTTTAGAACAAGTTACAAGAGGTCTATGTTGGCTGAGCTGAAGTTGGATGGATGACACAGTGAACAGATGACTTTGGGTTAGCAAGGCAGAGGGCCACATGAAATGACACTGAGAGCCGCAATTGGCCCCTGGGCCTGAGTTTGGACATGCCTGACTTAGCTCCTCCAGCTCATTCTTTCCCTCTGGCGTGTTGCGTGTCCTCCCTGGGTCTGCCCTGGAGGTAGTTTGAGGTCTGTTTGGAGCTGTAAGATGTATTTGTAGAGTTTAAATAATATTTAAGCCAACATGCCTCTTGTTTTGCTGCGGCCTGTCGCACGTATCTACGGCTGATCAATTACTAAGACTGTATTAAAGCTACTTCAATAATACGTTTTTTTTGTGATTCATCTGTTTGAGTTGTAAGAGCCCCAGTGTCATTCGTGTCCACACAAAAATACTATTCAATGTATTTTTGTATCGCCCTAAATCACCATGAGACCTACTTCATGACTCCCATTGATGTCTGCTGTTGTTGTGTCCTTGGGCGAGACACTTAACCCCACTTTGCCTGAACCCCCCACTGAAAGATCTCAGCTCCTGTGGACTCAGCACCTGCAGGAGGATCAGTGAGGGGCTGGTGCTCTGACTGCCACCCCCCGACCCAGAAATGGATTAAGGGGAAGAAAATCGATGGATGGATGGACTTTACAAAGCTGTCGATTCGCCGACACAGATCAGAGAATCAATCAGCTCAAACGCAGGAAATGCTGTGATATAAAAACGCAGAGAACCATTGGTCTAACAGGGGCACAAGACCATGTACAGACAGGTTCATAAAGTCCATAAACACTGCATATACATATTAATATTAAATATATCCATAAATTAGCTACAGGACAAAACCAATTTACCAAAGTACTGTAGATGATGAGGCTGAATATGTCAAACATGATAACATTTAAATAAAAGATGAGATCCTCTATGAAATATGAATCTACTTAGGATTAGTTTTTCTGATGTGTTTTTTTGGCCGTTTGATGATGCAATGTCATGTAAACATGTGTATATATTCTACTCGAAATACGCAGTTATATATCTGTACAAAGGCACTCGACCAGCTACTTTTTACTCCGAATATAGAGCTGTTGGATTCATTATACTGTATCTGACAAGTCCAGGAACACCTGCTGCTCTTGTCCTCCCACTGCTCCCGGCTTTTTTCAAGTGTCACTGAGAAGCAAAGAGACGTCAAGAGACACACATACTACACATACTACACACATACTGCCCGTACTACACATACCACACGACCACGCAGACGCTGACACACGGTGACGCCAGGGCTGCATGGAGGTTACCGACAGCACTATTTGTTATCTAGCTAACCCTTCATTCACAGACTCGACCAGACTCTACCACTGGTTCCATATGATTCAGTTAGAGATGTTTGAATACATTGTTATTGTGGTCTTGCTTATAATCAACAACCAAATAATGCGTTAGCTGTTGCCGACTGTTGTCCATATGTCAGCTGCATATGGTTCCCTCAATTTCAGCGAGATCTGGGTGCTTTGTTGAGTTTTGTGTGTGTGTTTTTGATGACATGCTACATACCGTAATGCAGTGTCTCCCAAAGTACGGTCCGCGAGAGGTCATAAAAAAAAAATTAAATGTTTTATATAATTATTGTATGTTAAATTAATAATTGTTCGTTTTAATATTAAAATTTGTGTTCAGAAGAGCGTATTATCAACGTTGTCTTCTTGGTTTTTATTTCACGGGGCCGCGCAGACCCATCAGATTTTTGAGGGGGCCGTGGTGTTACTGACTTTGGTAATGGCTGCCCTTATGTTCATAATGGGAGGCACTTTTAAGTACAAATGATACAAGGACAATACATATGTAGGAAAAGTTGGTTGTTATTTGCTGCCATTTTTGCCAAAATCAGTACAAATGAGAATGAATACTCAAATTGGAGAGAGATAGACAATTCACCCAGTATACAAAAATTGTATATATGAGAGAAAATATTTACTATAGTCAATAATGATCACGGACATCTTGGAGTTTTCATAACATCAGGTATTGACACATTCTAAAATGAGAATAGAAAAAAGCTTACTGCAATACTGACATCCTTTATTTCGATAAGACATAAAAATGATAATAGGGCGACAGTGGCTCAGTTGGTGGAGCATTGGCCTTAGAGCCTGAAGGTTGTGGGTTCGAGCCCACCAAAAGACCCACTTACTGTAACTCCACTTTGCCTGAAGCCCATGCTGAACAATCAAGGCTCCTGTGCACTCAGCACCTGCAGGAGGATCAGTGAGGGGCTGGTGCTCTGTGGACTGGGTGCAGCTCTGACTGCCACCCCCCCCAACCCAGAAATGGATTAAGCGGAAGAAAACGGATGGAAAACATGATACTTATACAGAAAGTTTTTTGTCTTGTCTTATCGAAATAAAGTCTTGTCTTATCGAAATAAAGTCTTGTCTTGTCTTATCAAAATAACATTACAATTTTCAGTATTGCAGCAAGCACTAAAATGTGATCCTGATTTCAGAAAACAATATGTCTAAGTCTATTTGTATACCCAACATTTTGCATCTTTGAACTCGTACAACTTGACCTGATGTTACTTCTTTCAAACCCGAGTAAAAAAAAGTAAGTTCAATTCTAAAGTGCACCGCAGCGGCTCGTACGCACCAGGCCGCAGTATCAGTCACCCTCATCACTATCACTTAAGCGTGTCCACTTCTGTACACATGTGTCCTCCTCCCCCCATGTCCCGCGGGTCTCCCCCCTTTGACAGAGATGGATGCGTTCTCCCTGTCCGTCTCTCCGACCTCTCGGCTGCATGACTAAACCCGCACACACAGAGGCGCGGCGGCGTTAGCATGGCGGCCCGGCTTCTACACATGTCGTCTCGTCGCATGAGTAAGCCGGCCGCGGACCACCAGGGCACGACCTTGCATCCTTTAACCCTCCCTCCCTTCTCTCTCCCGGCTTCACATCTGATTTCTCTTGGCTGCTCCGGACAACTTTCTTTGGCCTTGTTGAGATCCCCTGCCCCCGCCCCCGCCCCCTGTTGCCGTTGCATAACACTTGTTCCGCCGGCTTCTGTCGTCGCAGATATATTTTCTCAGTTTGTACTTGTTTTGAGTGCATTGCTAATACAGATTTTGTGAATAACTCTTTCCCTTTTGATAGTGCGCACTTGGGCACATAGCATCTCTCTCCTCACAGCCGACGTCAGTGGGGATGGATTTAAAAAAGGGAAAGGCCAGGGATCTAATGTTGTTTTCCAGTGCTGCTGTACAATATTGCTTGCATGAAAGTGTCACGGACTGGATGAAAATATAGTCTCAACTCAGAAATGTGGTTGGAAAGGGATTGTGAAAAATTGGAACCAAATCAAATCTATCAATCAATCAATCAATCAACGTTTATTTGTAGAGCGCCTTTCCTACACAAGGCAACGCAAAGCGCTTCACATCCCCTATCACATCATGCATAAATCAAACACATTAAGAGCACAAGATATATTAAAAACATTAAAAATAAAATCACAAAAATTAAAAACCTTTAAACATTAAAATCACAGATGGGACTAAAATCATAAATAGTCACAGTGCATTAAAAAGATTAAAGATAAAAACAAAGATGAAAAGATAAAATCATTCAGTTGTATATGCGCAGCTAAACAGAATTGTTTTGAGCCTAGATTTAAAAGATGCCAGAGTAGACGCCTGTCTCACATTCTCAGGAAGACTGTTCCAGACCCTAGCCGCATGAATCTGAAATGCAGTTTGCCCATGTCTAGTACCGACTCTGGGCACTAACAGGAGTCCAGTCCCTGTGCTCCTCAGAGTCCGGGTCGGTTCATATGGCACAAACATGTCATGGATGTACCTTGGCGCGAGACCATGGAGAGACTTGTACACAAGTAAAGCTGCTTTGAAGTCTATTCTCTGAGGAACAGGAAGCCAGTGCAGAGACCCGAGAACTGGACTAATGTGGTCGTACTTCCTAGTTCTGGTCAGGACTCGAGCTGCTGCATGTTGAATGTACTGCAGCTGTTTTACAGCCTGTTTGGACAGACCTGTGAACAAGCCATTGCAGTAGTCTAACCTACTGGAGACAAAAGCGTGTATAAGAGTCTCCAAGTCTGCCTTAGACACTATGTTTTTAATTTTAGCAATGTTTTTTAGGTGGTAATAAGCTGCTGATGTTACAGATTTTATGTGGCTTTTGAAATTTAAGTCTGAGTCCATTATCACTCCTAGATTTCTGACCTGATTTGAGGGTTGTTAGAGAGAGAGCCTGGAGGTGACAAATAACGCTCTCTCTTTGTTTCTGGGGTCCGAAAAACAATTATTTCAGTTTTGTCGGTGTTTAGTTGGAGAAAGTTATTTTGCATCCAATCACGATTTGCTGGACACAGTGAAGGAGCGAGTCCACTGGTTCATGCTCTCCTGCTGTCAGGGACACATAGACCTGAGTATCGTCAGCGTAATTGTGATAAGAGACATTATTACTGTGAATCAACTGACCTAGAGGCAACATGTAAATATTAAACAGAAGAGGACCCAGGATTGACCCCTGTGGCACTCCGCAGGTCAGGGCCAAGTGGTCTGAGGTACAGTTTTCGATCTCCACAAAAAACTTTCTGTCTTGTAAATAGGACCTAAACCAGCTTAGGGCGGTGCCAGCAACACCAACCCAGTCCTCAAGTCTCTGAATGAGGATGCCATGATCAATAGTGTCAAAAGCAGCACTTAAATCTAACAGAAAAAGGACTGAGACTTTTCCTGCGTCAGTGTTTAGTTTGATGTCATTTGTTACCTTTATTAGCGCGGTCTCAGTGCTGTGGTGGGGTCTAAACCTGACTGGAACATATCATAAGCGTTATTGATTATTTAAAAATTCTGTAAGTTGTTTATAGGCAACTTTTTCTTTTTCTAGAATTTTTTTCCCATGAAAGGCAGATTTGAAATGGGCCGATAATTTTTGAGTGCCAGGGCTTCCAGACTCCTCTTTTTTAGGAGGGGCCTGATGACCGCCGTTTTCAAGGCCATTGGGAATGTTCCAGATTCAAGAGACATATTAACTATTTGTGTAAGTGAAGGTAAAGACTGCTCAGAATGACTTCGAGAAATCTAGGAGGTAATACATCCAGGCTGCATGTGGAGGAACTCAGACTAGTGATTATCTCCTGGACAGTTTCAATTTGTACTGGTGTAAAGTGCGTCAGCCCAAAAAGCCTCACTGGCGGTTGGATTATTATTTCTATCGTGGAGGTGATGGCGTTTTTGATACCTTGGACTTTGTCATTAAAGAACTGAGCAAACTCATTACATTTAGATTTGGAAGTAAGTTCTGATGGCATCTTAACAGGGGGGATTCGTCAATCTATTTACTGTTGAAAACAGAACACGTAGATTGTTGCTACAGCCTTCAATAGTTTCAGAAAAGTACATTTCCCTCGTTCTACGTAGTTCCCTGTTAAATTGCACAACGCATCTTTGAAGATCTCATGGTCAACTTTGAGATTTGACTTTCGCCACTTCCGGCTCGGCCTTCCGGCACTCTCTCTTCTGTGCCCTGACCGAGTCTGCTTTAGTCCATGGCGCTTTTTGCTTGTTTGTAACTATTTTAACCTTTACAGGAGCAATTGTATCCAGAACATTCAAAACAGTGGTGGTGACAGAATCAAGTAATTCATCTACAGTAACACACAACGTGTTCTCAAAGGTTTACCCTCCCCATGAACAGTTCGCCTGTATTATCATTTATGTGTCTTCTTCTAAACAACCGAAGATTCAGCTGGTGGTTTACAATCAAGACACATGTCAAAAAAATACACAGAAATGATCAGACAGAGCAACATTGACCACATTTACATTTGAAATATTAACCCCTTGGTAATTAACAGATCGAGAGTGTGTCCTCTGCTGTGGGTGGGGCCACTCACATGCTGAGTGAGACCAAAGGTTTCCAGCACAGAGCTCAGCTCTATTGCATATCTATCATTAGCATTATCTACATGTATATTGAAATCACCTACAATGACCAAACCATCAAAATCTGTGCACACAACTGAAAGCAACTCAGTGAAATGATCAGTGAAACTATGGCATGACTGTGGCGGCTTGTACACAACAATAATAAGAATGGAAGAAGATTTCTTTTGTTCTATTTTAAAAGAAACATACTCAAATGATGAAAATTTCCCCAAGGAGACACTCTATGGGAGACAATACGATCTTTAAAAAACTGCTGCTATGCCCCCACCCCTTTTATTTTCTCGTGTTTCATGTTCAAATTTGAAAATTTGGTGGTGAGGCTTCTATTAAAACTGCAATATCCTGTATTATGGTCAAGCCCATGTTTCAGTCATAAACCAAAATCACGATCATACGAACAGATAACCATTATTACTTAAAAAATGATTTGTTGACTTAGTGATCTGACATTAAGTAGAGGCAGGTTAAAATTAATATCAGTGTCAATGGGTTTTAGTTGAATTGATTAAAAGAACTGGAATTAGGATTTCCCAGAGTTGGACCGTCTAACTGCTGTCCTTCTTTTACATTTTGTGTTTATTCAAGTTAAAACATATTTCTGAGCTGGTGCGAGAAACACACACAGTCTCTATTGGTTTAAAAAAGTGAACTCTGTTGTACTTTGTTAAGTTCCAGATGCATAACTGAGTCAGCACAGTTCAGTGGCAGGACTGTCGTTACACTGCCAGACTGACGGGGGTCAGTGTTTGCACCACAGTACTCACCCGGTGCTGGTAAGGAGGGAGGAGGAGGGGGGTGGTGGGGGCCGAGAAGCCTCAGATTGTAAACAGTCACGCCCCCCCTCGGGGCGCACTGAACAACATGGCGTAGGAAGTCCGTCAACAAACTGGTGCCCGTATCTGTTCGGGTGCAGACCATCTGGACGATAGGCCACGTGACGCTTCCAGAACAGGCCAAAGTTGTTCACAAAAATAAAGTTAAAAGTGCTGCATGTAGACTGGAGCCACATATTCAGCGCCACAACGCGACTGTAGAGGCAGTCACCCCGGTTTACAGTCGGGACTGGACCAGAGATAAAAACACACAACCCGAAGGACTGGAGGAGGCGGAATAGATCCATAAAATGCTTCTTTGTGACCTCGGACTGCTGCAGCTTCATGTCGTTGATCCCAACATGCACGATTACCTTTGAAATGGTATCAGGGCAGGGACTGAAGCAGAGGAGGGAGACGGATGAGCAGGTCTGGCACAGTAGCTCCGGTAATGCAGCTGCTCCAGAAGACCGCGACCACGGAGTTCATACAGCAATCAACAGAAAACATTTCTTTAACAGATTTACACATTTCTCAAAAATGTTTATTTGTATGAGGCTGACAGGCCGGCCCAAAAAGGAGCATCGGCCCTTCGGGCATTGCCCGGTACGCCCGATAACCAGTCCAGCCTTGCTCCTGAGGAAAAGAGTGGAGTCTGCTGTGTTGGAACCAAGCCCCGGCGATCCAAGATCAAATCCTTGGCTTGTGCTCAGTTGCACACGGGACATCCAAACATGTAGACTGAAACAGTGGCGGAACTCGCCCATATTTGGGCATCGTCTGGCCCTTCCTGTTCTGTGCAGTGGATGAAATCCCATGACGCTTTGCACCAAAAACATGTGTGTGGCTCTCATGCAAGTGCACGGAGGGGCTCGGCCGCGCTCTGACCAATCAGAGCTGCTGATCAGAGCCGGAGCCAGGGCCGGAAGAAAACAAGCAGAGTTTGTTGCATTAAAGAAGTTGCAAGAATTAATCAAGAAAGGGACAACAAATGACTCTATAATCCCCACAAATAGGTTCTCTGTCAGGTTCTCTTGTCAGCCGAGGTCAAGCTGTTTTAGTTTACATTGAGTTCTATGAGACTTTTTTCTGGGAAGCCCGCATGAATTTAGTCTGCAGTACCAGTCGCCCCTGTGCACAGGTAATACCCTGTCCAGATATTATGAATCCATGGTTGGAATTTTTAGGACCGCTTTTGAACACTTCTGGTCTATACCAACTAAAAAAGTATTAGCAATAATGACTACAGGGCTGTTAATAGA